CATACTATACTTATAAAATTTAAAAAAAAAAAAAAAAAAAAAAGGTAATGACTACATTTTTATCTTATTTTTGTGTTGTTTTCCAGTGTAAATATCTAAAAATTCTTAAATCAAAATGCATTTACTTGAGAAGCATAAATAAATAAGTAAATGAATGAAAGAATGAATGAACATTTCACAGGCATTTGATTAAGAGAAATGGACTAACACTCTTTCTATGGACTAACTTTCTTTATTTCTTTCTTTCTTTCTATATATTTTTGTTTCTCAAGTAAATTTATCTTCATTTCAGATATTTGTACTGTAAAAGTTTAGTCAGTTAAGCCCAAACTAGTTATAACCAACTATAACTAGTTAAGCCCAAAACAGACGCAAACAGTTCACCTGAACACCTGACTACACTCTGAACAAATAAGGCTCCCCAAATTCATTCACTCAAATGCATTCTATCTTTTGCAGGGTTGGGGAAAAGTTACTTTTAAAAGTAATGCATTACAATATCGTGTTTCCCCTTCAGGAACTCGAGCTGCGTCGAAACACATTGGGAACGCCTTCAGCATGACCACGCTCTGAATCACATGTGTAATCAGTCCAATGGATGGGCGACACGTCACGGGCGGGGTGACGTAGTGACCAGGACGCTTAAAAGCATGTGCGGAGGATACAGCGGCAGCTTTCTGTCATTCAGCAAGCGCTCTGTGTGTGTGTCATTTGCTTATTTAGTGTCGTTTGTCCACTTTATAAGCGCCATTATATCAAAGCTTCAGCCAAAAAGAAGCATTTGGGCGAGAGCAGGCAGCGTTTCAGGCTGTGTGTTCCTCCCTGCCCACGCTACAAAAAAAAAAAAAGTTTCGGGACACACACAGTTTGTGGAAGGAGGGAGCTGACTGCCCGCGTTGCGAGTGTTGTCACTGCGTATGCTTCGCTCTCGGAATGCTCTGTTTGAGGAGAGAGCTTTCACCAGCGTTCCTCGCGGTGCCAGCCCTGCTTTCGCCGAGGCGGAGCGGCGGCTGCGCTTGTGGGGATCGCAGATAGATCCAGCGCCCGCTCTCTGGGATCGGAAGCCTGCCCTGTGGTTTGTTCCCCCCGGGGAGAGGGCTCGATGCTCCGCCTGTCTTCATCTGAGGAGGTGGACATGGAGGATGTCGATGAGCTTTCAAAGCCAGTTGCACAAGCATATTATGTCTAATATTATAATGAGCAGCATTTACTGGGAAGCGGAGCTCGCGCAGTCAGCTCTCGAGGGGGTTGATTGTGCTTTTCCCGCTGCAAAACGCTCCTCTCTCCCCAGGCACGCTCCAAGGAGTGTGTCCGTGCCTGTGATCTTGCGGTTCCAGTCCCGCTGCTGCTGAGGCACGGCGGTGATTGAGATCGCGGGGGATCGCACATGACCTGGCGGACGGGTTGGAGATGGGCTCTCCCCATCTCCTCTGAGGAGGTTGAGGCGGTCAGCAGGGGCTGCTGGGCGGGAGCAGTCCCAACCTACCATGTTCCAGCTCCTCATTCAGGGAGTGTCACTTCTCATACTCCCCAGAATTTAGAGTCAGAGTGGCACTCCCAGGCCAAAGGCTTCTAGCGGAAGGCAGGTCTGCGGACCGTCATTCTCACTGGATAGTCTTCGGCTAAAACGTCCTGACGCCTCGCTCCAAGGAGTGTGTCCGTGCCTGTGATCTTGCGGTTCCAGTCCCGCTGCTGCTGAGGCACGGCGGTGATTGAGATCGCGGGGGATCGCACATGACCTGGCGGACGGGTTGGAGATGGGCTCTCCCCATCTCCACCCGCATTCCCTAGATCTAGCGCTCTCTCTCGGGGTTCGGAAGTCCGCGCTGCGGTTTCTTCCCCGTCTGAGTGAGAGCTCGCTGCTGCAGCTATGTTTCTCCGAGGAGATTGATATTGTTTGTATAACCGAGCGGCTCGCGTGCTGCCGAGGCAACGCGTGCATTACATCATTCTCGTTTTTTTATATGAATCTTATCACACCAGGTGTACACCTCATTATACGGTGCCCGTCTCTCCTCAGTGCCCTTGGGAGATCGTTCTGCCAACCCTGCCACCTACGATGCTTCAGGGCGCAGCGGTCTCCGGCAAGCGCTTCTCTCAGTAACCGCCCGGAAATGTAGCGGTACTAAGAGGCTCGCTACCTCTTCGGAGGTCTCATAGAGTAGCTAGTTCGGCCATCCCCTGCCGGTTCGCCACTTCAGGGCACTGAGCTAGCTGCTCTGATTACACCAGAAGTCAGTCTCGAGAGACTGATTCCCTTAGTAGACCTTTTGGCAGCATGGAAACTTCTGCCAAATGTGTCTCAATGGGTCCTGCCCACTGTAGAAAGAGGCTACCGAATCCAGTCCAGTTCTCCGCATCGTTTCAACGGGGTCATTCCCATTCTGGTGGGCCCCGAGCAGGCTCTGATAATGGAACAAGTGAACACTCTCTTGAGGAAGAAGGCCATCGAGGTGGTCCCTCCTCTCGACAGGGAGTCCGGGTTCTACAGCCGGTACTTCATCATTCCAAAGAAGGATGGAGGTTTGAGTCCCATTTTAGATCTGCGTCAGTTGAAATGTTCAGTCATATGACTGAAGTTCAGGATGCTCACTATCAAGCAGGTTGTGTCTCAGATCAGGTCCGAGGACTGGTTTGTCACGATCGATCTAAAAGACGCATACTTTCATATCTCCATCCTTCCCCATCACAGGAAGTTTCTGAGGTTTGCTTTCGGGGGCAAAAGCTCCAGTACAGAGAACCACTTATCTGGGCGTGGTGTGGGATTCGAGTTGGCGGCTCGGCATCGAGATGTCGTCCTCGCCCATATGAAAGAGTTGGGGTTAAGACTAAACGCCAAGAAAAGTGTGCTTTCTCCATTACAGAGGACCACTTATCTGGGTGTGGTGTGGGATTCGACCACGATGCAGGCACATCTGTCTCCTGCTCGGATCGAGTCGATCCTCACCGCAGTTGTGAGAGTGAGAGAAGGACCGGTCACTCACTGTCAAGCAGTTCCAGAAACTGCTGGGTCTGATGGCAGCTGCGTCCATTGTGATATATTTTGGCCTGCTGTACATGAGACCCCTACAGTGGTGGCTCTATACCAAGGGGTTCTCCCTGAGGGGAAACCCGCTCCGCATGCTCAAGGTCACACAGTGCTGCCTTCGTGCCTTAGACATGTGGAGGAAACCTTGGTTCTTGTCTCAGGGCCTGGTGCTGGAAGCTCCTTGTCGCCGTGTAATGGTAGCGACGGATGCGTCCCTCATTGGTTGGGGAGTGGTCATGAGTGGCCGCTCAGCCCGCGGTCTGTGGAGTGCTCGCCATCTCACGTGGCACATCAACTGCCTGGAGATGCTGGCTGTGTTTCTAGCATTGAAATACTTCCTCCCGGACCTAAGAGATCACCATGTGTTGGTGGGCACCGACAACAAAGCAGTGGTCTCTTATATCAACCACCAGGGAGGTCTGTGTTCGCGCCCCCTTTACAGGCTTGTGCACCAGATCCTTGTGTGGTCCCAGGGCAAACTCCTCTCACTGAGAGCAGTTCACATCCCTGGGCATCTCAATATGGGAGCAAACATCCTGTCGAGTCAGGGGCCGAGGCCCGGGGAATGGAGACTTCACCCCGAGGTTGTGAAGCAGATATGGAGAGTTTTTGGCCAGGCTCAGGTGGACCTGTTTGCGACTCAGGAGACATTTCAGTGTCCCCTCTGGTTCTCTCTGACTCATCCAGCTCCACTGGGGCTGGATGCCATGGTACAGACTTGGCCGAGGCTTAGTCTGTACGCCTTTCCCCCAATCGCTCTGCTCCCTGGAGTTCTGGAGAGAGGGCGCCGGGACGGGGTCCGTCTGCTGCTAGTAGCCCCGTTCTGGCCGGCCCGAGTATGGTTCTCAGACCAGAATTCCCATCTTGATGGCTCTCCATGGGAGATTCCCGTCAGGAGGGATCTCCTCTCACAGGCGGAGGGTACAATCTTTCACTCCCGCCCGGAGCTGTGGAAGCTGTGGGTGTGGCCTCAGAGGGGGCACAACTTTTAGCTTCCGGTCTCTCAACCGAGGTTGTTGAGACCATCCTCCAATCCAGAGCTCCCTCTACGAGGAAACTGTATGCCTTGAAGTGGAAGCTTTTAATTTCTTGGTGCGGAGACTGCCGGCTCGACCCAGTTAACTGCCCAGTTGGTATAGTACTGGAGTTCCTGCAGGCCCGATTCTCCGCAGGGTTGACCCACTCCACCCTGAAGGTCTACGTGGCGGCCATTGCCCCGCCCGTGACGTCTCGCCCATCCATTGGACTGATTACACACGTGATTCAGAGCGTGGTCACGCTGAAGGCATTTCCAAAGCATTTCGATGCAGCGTCTCGTTCTCTCGGGGAACCATGGTTACATGCATAACCTGGAGACATACTCCATGAAAGAGTAACTAATTGCGTTACTTAGTTACTTTTTAGTGAAAGTCATGCATTACATTTCTTTTGTGTTACTTTTTGTCACCTGGACTGGCTTGCTTGTTTATTATTTTTATTTTAACAATAAAAAAACCCAAAAGTTATATTTTTGGCAACTGTAAAGGCCCTTTCACACCAAAAGTGAAATTAATAAGCCTCAGGCTGAAGGAAGCGCCTTTGCCTCTACATCTCACACCCAATTTCTCTCAACATGGGGACAGGAGAGGTGCCAGTAAATAAATGGAAAATAAAGTAACTAGCGTTACTTATTTGAAAAAGTAACTCAGATATTTTGTTGTAAACTGAAAGTAATGCCTTACTTTACTAGTTACTTGAAAAAGTGATCTGAATACATAACTCGTATTACTTGTAATGCATTACCTCCAACACTGATCTTTTGGAATTAAAATCGAGCAAAACTTGTAGTGAAGTGCTTTTAATGATGACTCTACTGGCCTGCTATAACAGTTATTGATCAGGCATTGATCAGGCATCACAAACAGTTGACCTTTGGGTTCCAGATCAGGGGAACTTACTGGAGGCACTAAAAGGGCCGTGAGAAAGACAGCGTGTGAGCATGCCCACCTCTGTGGCGTAAAGGCCAGTTAGCATGCATCATGTACATAATTTCTGAGAAAGAGGAAGTGCCTGGCTGTTGACACAGCAGCTGATATATGAGAACCTTGGGTTGTTCTTGTAACTACAATTATGCTGCATTCCACAAAGTTAAACATGAGGGCCAGGACTTCCTGTGGTATTTCAAATTAGAGCCAGTCAGTTTTTTGTTTGTTTAAAAAAACTAAAGCGTGAGATAAGTGGGGTGTTATAAGATGCTAAGAGTACACATTTTTGAAACCGAGGTACCTGGAATTTGCATTTCACAGTAACAGCCTTGTTGCTTAATTGTCTACATATTAATGCATTGAGAAATAAAAAAATAATGACATCAAGCTGCTCACCTTCTGCTGATTGGGAAACACTGTTACACCTGAAATCTGATTTACTGGTGGTTTGTATGCAATTATAAATTATAATAAAAAAAAAAGAAAGAAATAGTTTTGTTACAAATGTGTTGTTGTAATTTTACTTTGTATTTTTTTACTTTCTTCTGTGTGTAATTCCTTTTTAACATATGCAAGAAGGTTATTAGTTAAAACTAATTATATGCACAAAACTATGTACAAACACATAAACTTCTACTGTAGCTATGTACAAACTCGATTTCATGAGTCATTTTCATTCAAAGTGCAATTCATATCAGAATGTAGTTCATAATGTGTTTATGTACTTGCTTAAAGAATGTTTCTGCCATTGGAATGCAGTGAACCTCAGCTGAGATAATTATTTTTTTGTATGAATGAGTTAATTGCTTTTCTTATGTATTTATTTTCCCTGAGGTCAACTCTAGGCTAATGTTAGCCAAGATTTGTTATGCCACATTACAGTTTATTTTTTCATGATAATTTCCACCCTTTTTCTTATCCTCTAACTGTTAAGATCAGACTGAAATGATCAAGGACGCTGTTCACTGTAACTTCAGCTACACAGCCCATAGCAGAATCATAGACGATATAATGCATAATAAATTGCAAGTGTTAAAAAGTACAGCTTTCTGTCTTTACAGTATATCGTTACCCTCTTTCATTTCTAATGCACTGTTGATTGTTCAACATCACACTGCAGTGACACAATACCTTCACATGCTGTGCAAGTCAGCGTCTTGCCCACTTTTGTAATACTGGCCAACACTCAAGAGTATTCCACTGTTACAATAGAACATATTAGCAGAATGCTATTACTGTACTTTTGGGAAATCTTACAAGTC